GTTTTTTTCAGTGACCTTTAAGGTCCTGTACTAGGATGCCAGCCCTGCGTGCTGTTCATTAATTCACTGAGCTGAACGAACCACGCTCTGTTTCCTGCTAGAAAACAGAAAGCAGAGCCCCTTTGTGGGCTACCGTGAGAAATACATTGCACAAAACAAATGCAGGCATTTTTCACACCCGTAATACAGAAGTAATGCTGCCAATTGTCATTGAAATGGCATTTTTTTAACTGATAAATAAATTAAAAATCAGAGAACAACACGTTCTGTGTAGAAACACAACAACATTTTGATCAGAAAACCTAGTGGAATGACATTGGTCATACTGTCAGAAAACAAACATCAGAAATATTAATAAAGTATAAAGGAGCCTTTCACTGTCAAACAAGTACACCCTGTCTGTGCAGCAGCCTTCCGGGGGAATCCCCGCCAGCTAACAACAGGCAGGCCGACAGAGAAATGAATTGGGAAGGACATCTAAATAAGATGACTGACTTCGTAAGACACATAAATAGTAAATTTTCCCCACAATGTAAATCAAACTATGTTGTAACATCTGGAAGCATGCATCCTCTTGGTTTTAAAGGGAACTCTGATGAAACACAGATGTCATTTACTTTGATTTAAAATACTAAAAATTAAAGATAACGAGGGGACTGTAACTCCTACTTGCCCTCACCAATCTGCAGCCCTGTGAATTCTAGAAGGAACGTACCTTGAGGGGGAGGCTGTAATGCAATCTTATACTGAAGCGTTTCTTTTGATAAAACAGCTGAATTGCTGTCGGGAGAGGCTTTAGCCCATGGTCTGAGCTCAACAGAAACCCTGATGGGGAAACTTCCACAGGACATGTCACATCAGCACATTCTCTCAGTTGCTGCGCTCACAGCCCTTCCCAGCCAATGCCTGTAAGTGCAGGCTCTGCTACACCTCCCGCTGAAGCACCAACACTGTAATCTGGGGTTATTAACTGCAGCGGCTCGTTATTCCCGACAAGAGTCATACGGCCCGCAGAACAACGGTGAGCTACAAACCTCAGCTCAGCGCGCTCTTTCGAACGGAGCGGGAAGTCTGACGGCCCGCGCTCACCCGCGGAACTCCCTTAAGACAAAGCTGTTCCCTGCAACGTCTAAACCGTCTTTGTCTAGTTCTCGCTCAAACGCAAAGCTACGGCTGATCCAATGTTGTACTGTAAGGCCCAGGCTCGGGTTTAGGAGGTCCCCAGCCCGGCGGGGCTGAGCTG